TATTAAAAACAATAAGAAAAAAAAAATGAAAAAGGAAACGCCACCGAAATCTCGCGGGAGGATGAACGATCCTTTGACTTTTGTTTTTCCATCGGGTGCTACGTGGAGTTTTTGCCTAATTGACGCAAGATTTGTTTCCGAATTCCTCGCGCAGAGAGAGTAACGTCAGATAGATTGTAGCGGAAAAAATATGTTATTGAGACAAACTCAAAGTAAACAAGGTATAGTACAGTAAGCGAAATAAAACTTAGACGGAGCTTGAGTATACATATAAATATACAGGTTAAACAACACGTGCGCACCGAATATACATCTTGTTATTTATAATAAACGAATTGTGAAAAAAGAATCACGCAGCGTTGTTCGCAGACTTCATTCCCTTCTCTATCCCTACTCGTGTCAATTTTTTTCGTTTCGATTTTTGCTCGGAATGTTTGTTAAGTGAAAGGGATTACGTTTGTAACGCGAATGCGCTTTCGACTATGAGAAATAAATTTCGGATAACGAATCGAAAAGAATGCGTTGTGTTCCTTTATTTGAATTTATCGAGTGATAATAATGACGCTTCGAACATCTGATCTTTGTACGCGCTGCGCAACCTATACAGATAAAAGAAAAGGAGTTATTGTAAATAAAATACGTTTCACGCTTACGTCGACGTTACTTTCGAAAGTTTCGTTTAGTTTCCATTAAGCGTACGTTCAAGCCGAAATGCCTAAGAAGCTCGTTTCAGTAACGAAAAGAAAGCAAACCGCTTTTTGCAATGCGCGTATATATATTCCAGCTGCTCGGGTCGTATGATTCTGACAATAAACATATTCGTTATAGTTCCCTTTGCGCGAGAAAAAATTACTTGAAGAACAGGCAACGTGGTTCCCGGATGTCATCTGGGGTCCACTGCGTCAGAAAGATCTGCCGTAACGATTTAAAAGGAGGGGAAAAAAAAGAGCGTGCTGCTAAAAGAAATCCACGATAAAAGTGTTTACGCGCATTCTTACGAAGTTGAATCTCGCTGATAATAATAAAAGCATCTTTAAGAAAGGACCAAATATGACTGGGAATAGCTTCGATTAACGAAAAGGCATTAATTACAAGTGAGCCGCCATGCTGTAATTAAAGAACCATCGACTGCGGCCGGTTACGGTAAGATGAGTCGATTCAGTAGAAAAATAGTAAATGTAATACCGAAAATATCGAAAAGAGAACAATTCGGAGAGTACACTGAGATTACTACAGTGGATAAAAAAGGTAGCGATGCAAAACTCTAACGAACGTTTCGTTCAATCGTACTCCATTGCGTTGTAGCCCATAGAAATATATAAAATTCACGTTGTAATTAATAACAATTGCATAATACAAATAACTAATTTCAATATCTTCGGAAATTAAGTTCAATTAATACTTCTGCACGCGATTACCGGCAGATACCCTAAACCCATAACGTTTTCCTGCCAGCGCGACATCAGCAAACATTATCCAGCCCGTTTTCCCGCAAAAACTTGCTACGACAAGTACAAGGATACTCTACTTGCACTCACCACTGAGAAGATATCGCATGAATAAAAATTCTCGCCGATTCGCAGACTCGGTTTTTTGTTCCGCCTTTCGAAACTCCGCGGTAAGTGCAAAAACATGTTCTTCGTCCTCAGAGTAATTAGATTAAACGACGATATTAGGTGGAATTTGACATTCTATAAAATTCCTTCCGCGACGATACACCTTTAACCATCGATCGAATGCGAACAATGTGTTTACCACGAGCTCGTAAACGAAAAACAGGCTTTAAGAAGTAAACGTTGTATCGAATAAAAGTTAGTATTTATTCCCAGTGGATCAATGTTAACAGTGTGATCAATATTCTCGGCGTGTATGCACACGCGTGTTGCGTTACAGCGATTTTTATCGTGATGGCCGTGTGTCTCTCCTTTTCGCCGCGGTTTCCAGCTCTCCACTGTCTCCAGTTTCTTCCAAGAGGCGCGCACTTGCACATACGCACGTACTCTAGGTGCGTGCCACGGCGTCGAGAAACCAGTCTCCCGATGATTTTTGCGACGATGAAACAGCTACTGTCTTCAAGGAATCGACAGGGCCGTATATGCCTACATGTCCTACCTGCTTCGATGGACAATGACCTTATCCGTTTGAATCTTAACCGCCAATTAATACCCCTGCAATGATTTCGAATTATACCTCGACCCTTGAAACGAAACTGCAGTTACTATAAGAAAGGGGTTAAGAATACCGTTAAATAATTTTGTTTACATTAACCGCGTTAAAGTTTCATTTCCGTGAGAGTCGTTTCATTAAATTATAAAAGATTCGAAATATCATCTTTTAATTTTATAGCATTTCGAAATAATATTTTAAATGTTAGATATTAAACATCAACTATGAAGATGGAAGCTAAAGTAGTGGTGCATAATTACTATATTTCCATTGATTTCTTACAATTATAATTACAATTACACTACTTTATTCAATTACTATTCCCAATAAATAAAAACTACATATTAGGGGATGCGAGTTAACACTAGGACTACCGAGCAGTTAAATTGTCTTTTTAAAACTGTCCTGTAAAAACCTAAACAGTGCAATTATTGACACTTCAGTTGGTTTGCAATTCAGTTTGTATATTGCTAAACCAGTTTCTATAGTACTTTTCAGAGAAGTATCCGTCATCTGTCGAATAAATGGAAAAAATGAAATCAGGAATGGGTATTTTGACCCATCCGGTAGTTCTAGTGTTAAGGATACTCAGTCCTCAATCCTTGGTCCATGAGTTTTAACCCTTTGCACTCGAGAGCTGACTCTCAGTCACCATAAAATTTGATATACCAAAATCATAGAGTTTCACGTATAATATTAAACTTCTTACAATCCATGAATATTTGAAATATTGAAATAATAACTTTGCTTCTTAACTTATGTATCTTCCCTCATTCAATTCGTCTTAAAGGGTGTCATCTATAACTTATTGGAAATTGTTGAATATTTCTAGTGAAAAACTTCGGAGTGCAAAGGGTTAACCCTTAGCACGCCAGATTGTTTTGTAATCTATCAGCAACTGCAACTAATTTCTATAGTATTCCTAGCGAAAATGAGAAATGCTATAACATTTCTTCGACCTTTTATTTTCCTTCTCAGTGCAAAATTTGGATGTGTGGAAAATCTAATAATTTTAGGGTAGTTTCTTTAAGATTCATTGAAATATTTAATATTATAACTGGTGCAATATTGGAGCCTACAGAGTTCAAAGAGTTTAACTCACATTAACCTCTTCAACCCTAACACAAAAACCTAATCTTTATCTACAACAAACATT